GAAATAAAATATTTCTCTAAGGGACCTATTTTTTTTTTTTTTTTTTGTCTTTTGTCTTTTGTCTTTTTTCCGTGTCCGGCAACGGATCGCAACCCTCAGTGTTGCCCCCGTACCGGACCGGGGACCGGCAATGGGATCGCAAGCCTTGGTGTTGCTCCCACGCCTCGCTCAGCCAGTGAGCAGGAGCCGGTCTGTATGTGGGATCCGAACCCTCGGACGGGAGCGCCGCCGCGCTTCCCAAGCAGCGCACTATCCAGTGCGCCACCGGGCCGGCCCTCTAAGGGACCTCTTTAAAGTACAAAAGTTAATTGTGACCTTTAGGTATGTGATTATATTATGGGTCTCAAGGTTTTGGGGTGGGGAATGGACAACAAAAATATTGCCAACATTTTTGTTCTGTATAGCATTTTCCCCAACCTGGTTTTTTAAATTAATATATTTTTCTTTCCTAGACGAATTAAGAAAATTGCAAGAGCAAATGAAGTCCTTACAAGAGCAGTTAAAAATAGTGACGATTAAACAGACTGCAAGTCCAGCCCTTCTGCATAAGTCGCCTGGTAATGAGATTTGTAATTCTGGTATTAGTATGCATTTCTGTTAAGAAATCATAACATTGCTTCTGCATCCAGCTCTAGGCAAAACAGCCTTTGAACCCCTTTCTAAATTGGCTTTACTAACTTCTTTGACTTTTAATCAAGTAGATAAGTCTCCACGGCCCCCTCTTAAGGAGAAGAAAGTTCAGAGAACTCAGGAGTCGTCGTGCTTTTCTGCAGAGCTTGATGTTCCTGCCTTACCAAGGACTAAGCGGGTGGCCCGGACACCAAAGGCTTCACCTGCAGGTGTGGTACTTGAGGCCTCACTTCTCTGGCTCTGTTTAAAATACATCTTGGCGCTGTCATGCATGTGTGCGTGTATTGTATTTTGGTCTGTCTTATTTCTCCATTGAGAAGAGTAAGTTTCTTGGGAATGGGAGTCATATATTTTGTGCTCTTCTCCTATGTCTCAAAGTGCTTAGGAAATCCAGTACAGAGCAGGCATTTCCTAAGTACTTAACAGGTTGAGTTTTTTAACTCTATAGTCTTAGAGTTTTACTTGGCCCGTAGTAAGTATAACCACTGGATTGAGTTCTTGTGCTGGAAATCTGGCAATTTAAATCTTCAGGATTGTGAGATTAAGGCACATATTCCCTTTTAAAGTGGTCAAGTTTTATTTGAAGCTGGATTGTGTTAAACCAAAGTGTTCGTTCTTCAGAAAAGACTTATTTGCCAGGAGTATAAAATGGTACTCAAATAAACTCCTATTTCAGCACACATGCATATACACACAAAACAAAAATGAAAAGGATTGATGAGCCCCATGTATTGGTTTTGTTGTATTGCCTTTGTTGGCCCAAAGTGATTATTCTTTGGAAGACCTAAAACAAAATGGTCTGGAAATAACATAGCTTAGAGGAAGTAGGATTTTCTTGGCCACATGTGTTCAAAAAGGTCCTTTTCGATCAATAGCTTTGGCCTATGACATAGTAGTAAAGAAAAGCCACAGCCTCTGATTGTTCATATTACTTTGACAACAAATTCTATATTCAGTGTATCCATTTATGAATAGTGTCCGTCCCCTTAACCTTTGGCATTACTGAGGTGTTTCATTAGGCAGTGTCCAAAGTTTGGTTTTGAGGGGGTGGGGCATGGGCATGGTTTCTAGGTTCTAAAGTTCCAGGGTTGCCCTGGCCCGCCCCTAGCTTGGGAACAGGGATACAAAGTCCCTTTCAGGGTATATAGCACAATCTTACGTAAGAGAGAGTGATGTTTTGTTAAGGAGAATACCTAAGCTCTCTGATCTTCAGGAGCATCATCAAACACTCTAAAATATGAAAAGTAACCACATCTGGGATATTTAATGCAAACAGTAGTCAGTAGAATATCCTGGTCCCCCTAATTCCCCCCGCACTGTAAATAAAATGGGATGGAATGAAATGAAACAAGAAAGAAAGAAGAACAGAAAGGGGAACTAGCTTTGGATTTTCTTAAGGCAGAATTTAATCCGTACGCAAATCTCCACTAATTATTCATTCCTGAAGGAGGGCTTTCACTCCCTTTTGGAATCTACTCCAGTGCTCTATGTATGGTGAATACTCAATAAACGTCATTGCATATAGAACAGTGTTTTAGAGCTGTACTGTCTAATGCAGTAGCCACTAACCTTGTGTGGCTATTTAAATTAGATTAAATTAAGTTAGAAATTTATTTCCTTAGAAGCACTGGTCACATTTTAAGTGATCAGTAGCGTAATGGACAGCACCAATATAAAACATTTCCATCATCGATGAAAGTTCTATTGGACTGCACTGCAGAGATTTTGAGGGTAGGACAGAAATTTTCTTGTGTCCTTCCTTTGTTCTCTCAAGCCTTCACTATTGCATGTGTTGATTTAAAAAGAAACAATTCTGGAAAAGCAAATTGTGTAAATGTCAGTGTGGATTTATTTTCACTCGATTTTTATGTTAATTTTCCAGAGCCCAAAAACTCGTCTTCAAGGATAACAAGTGCACCCTCCCAACCACTCCGAACTATTCCTGGGAACAAACCTAGTGGGATGACTAGAGATCAGAGAGCAGGAACCCCAGGGAGCTCTGGGGAAAAGGCTCCAATGGTCTCTGTGTCTGTGGAAGCCTTCTCCGGCCTGCGGCTCAGGTCAGCAGCTGTCCCAGCCCTCTCATTCATTGATGTCCTCCTCCCAGTGGCTCTTTCTCCTCTCAGAAGTCTCAGTCTTTTAGAAGTAGTGTGTCTGTACAGCAGATCCACAAGACACCAGCAGCTCTTGAACTGGACAAAACTTGGCAGTGAGACTAGCTGTAGCCCAGAGTTTGACTCAGTGCAGATGCATATAAGCTGTTTCAAGAGGGCTGGCTGGTTAGCTCACTTGGGAGAGTGTGGTACTGATACCACCAAGGTCAAGGGTTTGGATCCCCATACTGGCCAGCTGCTGCTAAACAAACAAACAAAAAAGACTTTTTTTTATATAGTGAATAAAAAAGATACATCTTTAAAAAAGAAATGGACAAATAACATATAATTAGAAATTGACAGATGGAAACAGATGTAGACTTTAGAGGGGTTTTTTTTTTGTCTTTATTGAGGTCTAATTTAGACTACTAAATATATAAAGATTTAGTTTAACCAAGATAATAGTATCTTCATATAATTGATTTTAAGAAAAATAGCTGTGCTGCTTTTCTTTCAAATAAACTTTTAGGGCAAATCTATATTCTTTGGATCTGTTTTGTGAAAATTTAAGGTCAGAATTTAAGAGTAAATTCCAGGCTCAATTCAGTTTTTTAGCCATATTCAAGTCCTGGAGTTTTAAATCTTCTGTACTCTTACCACTACTCCATTATGTCTCCATTACTCCTTCTGTTTCAGCCCAGGGCAGACCAGTAATCCTTACTATGAGATTGGGTTGCTTTAGTCTAGTCCATCTGAGGCACCAAATGCAACCCTCTAAAACTCCTAAACCTTGCCAGTCTTAACATCAGCCAACAACTAAAATTTCTAAGCTCTTAAATGATATATGTTTAAGCAGGAAAGAGCAAGTGGTTGCCAGCGTGGAATAGAAGTGTATAGTAAAGACTCGGTATTCTCCAAGAAAGTGTACTGTCCTTAATATCTTAATTACATCTGAGACAGAGTTCTGGGGGAGGGTATGCAGCAGTAGAAGCTGTGGTTCTCACTGACGGAGCTGCAGGGTTCCATTCAAGGTTAATGTGCCCCTCCTGAGGTGATACTGCCTGCTCCAGCCATGGTTCTTTGAAATTTCCTATAAGCAGTGAAAGATACTGCTGATGAGCATGTACTGTGCATGTGAAACAAATGGAGGTAGAAAGAGTTTAAACAGCTCACCTAAAGCTTTGAGGGGCTAATAGTACTAAAGGAATACAGAGTTGCTTGAACCTCTTTGTAATTTGTATGTGTGAACCTCAGGCCCTAAAAATATTTATAAGGAAATACCCATAGAGATCCCCTGATGGTAACTTATTAATTCTCAGAAATCAGGCAAAGAAAAGAATTTCTCCACCAAAGTCAGTGGTTTGCCTCCTGAGTGTTCCTCATTGTTCAGACTTAGCTCTGGGGTTTTCTCTTCCAGAAGACTTCTGAAATAGTGAAGAAGCATGTTTTTCTTTGTAGATATATAATATGATCAAAGATGGAATGGATATTAATATTCTATTAGAGAAAAACAATTTGAAAATTTACCAATTTTTGGCCAGTCATTAGGAAAAAGAATATATTAATTGAAGCTTGATTCAAAAGCCTTTGTTGTGGCTCACTTGGGAGAGTGTGGTGCTGATAACACCAAGTCAAGGCTTAAGATCCCCTTACCGGTCATCTTTGAAAAAAAAAAGCCTTTGTTATGTGAAAATATTGGCTTAAAAATATTTGATTAGAAATAGAACCTGTGAAATTGTTGCAGAACTGGTGAAATTTAAATATTTATTAATATTCATGGTTTTCTAATAAAATAAAGTTTTTTAAAGAATAATATAACGTATTCAAATTTATAAGAGCTTAAAGATTTTGTAATCTCTCTTGTGTTCTCATAAGCCCCAGTTCTATATCCAAGGAAAAGCAAACCTAGCTTTAAAAATTATCTTATTTAGGGCCGGCCCGGTGGCGCACTGCTATAGTGCGCCGCTTGGGAAGTGTGGCGGCGCTCCCGCCGAGGGTTCGGATCCCACATACAGACCGGTTCCCGCTCACTGGCTGAGCGAGGCGCGGGAGCAACACC